AATTTAAAATATGATGACTGCGGAAGATTTTGGGGAAGATGAGTACTCGAGAGGGAGGAGTATGTGAAATAGGTGAATTAAGGGTGAGCAAAATACGATAATTAGCTCGTACTGACACTGTACCAAATATTTTGGTTCTGTATGACATTTTATGTCATACCAATTATGAAATTTTGGTTCGGTATGACTCGGGATGGTTCGATATCAATTCAGCATAAATGAGGAGGAATATATATACACCCCCAATTTGAACTTTAAAATGTCACAAAACCGTATACTTTTGAAAGATATATTCAAATAAGAGTAAATTCCATAAAGATCCCTAGTTATAGGTCGTTTTACATATATATTTAGTCCATACATATCAAATATCAATAATTTAGTCTCCAATTTTTATATTATTTTCCACAAATAGTTCTCTATTAACATTTCCATTAAGAACATGGATAAAATTGTATATTCACTTTCCTCTCTCTCTTCAATTAAGCTTCCCTCCCTCCTCTCGAACTCAATCCCAAACCCGTCGCTGCGTTTAAAGCTCTAAACTCAAAAACGAAACGATCACTCCTCTCTCAATTATTTATGAGTTAGTCTCAAGAAATTGCAAAGAAAATAAATCTTAAAACTCATCCATGAAGGTCACTGGTTTCGAATTTGGAATCCAGCAAAAAAACAATTGAGAGAGGAGTAATGATTTCAGTTTTGGGTTCAAAGTTTCAAACTCTGCGACGAGTTTAGAAAAGAAGTGCGAGAGGAGAGAGGAGCTTAATTGAGGACACTCTCAAAAATTTTGAATTGGTTTTATTAGAAATTCATTATAACTTTTAGGGTATAATTCAGGGTGTTACATAGGGAGTAATTGGTGTTTATTTACTCGGAAAAATACATCCGGGCAAATGATGTAGAAAGATCTATTTATGAGTGTCTGGAATTTAGCTTTTTAAACAAAGGTAGAGTTTTTTTATATTGTCTTGAAATAGTAGAAATATAATTTTTTCTCTCTCCTATATTCTTCTTGTGTTTGTTCTTTCATTTTTTTGGTGATCTCAATATTTTTGGTGTCTTACGCGCTTAAAATCTCAACCGTTTTAGATGGAGAGAGACTATAAGGTTCTGTTTGGAATATAGAATTCAATATGTGGAATTAGAATTAGGGACTTCAATTCAAATTCTAATGTTTGATAGCATAGAAATATGTAGATTTGGAATTTGTAGTGCAAAAAATGAATTGGAATTAAAGAATGTAATTCCATTAAGTTAAGTTTCATAGAGTTTTAATCCAATGCAATTCCAATGCTGACAATTCCGTGTACCAAATGGATCTTAAAAATTTCATATTGCATTAATATTTGGGCATCGGTTACAGAAATCAAAACTGCCAAACAAGGAATTCGAGGATGATTGGATGTTCCTCAATAAGTTAATTGTAGAGAATAATTTAAAACTTGAATTCAAAAGAAGAATAATATTATAGAATACCTGATATTTCTTGAATTTAAAATATGATGACTGCGGAAGATTCTGGGGAAGATGAGTACTCAAGAGGGAGGAGTATGTGAAATAGGTGAATTAAGGGTGAGCAAAATACGATAATTAGCTCGTACTGACACTGTACCAAATATTTTGGTTCCGTATGAGATTTTATGTCATACCAATTATGAAATTTTGGTTCGGTATGACTCGGGATGGTTCGATATCAATTCAGCATAAATGAGGAGGAATATATATACACCCCCAATTTGAACTTTAAAACGTCACAAAACCGTATACTTTTGAAAGATATATTCAAATACGAGTAAATTCCATAAAAGGTCCCCTGTTATAGGTCGTTTTACATATATATTTAGTCCATATATATCAAATATCAATAATTTAGTCTCCAATTTTTATATTATTTTCCACAAATAGTTCTCTATTAACATTTCCATTAAGAACATGGATAAAATTGTATATTCACTTTCCTCTCTCTCTTCAATTAAGCTTCCCTCCCTCCTCTCGAACCCAATCCCAAACCCGTCGCTGCGTTTGAAGCTCTAAACTCAAAAACGAAACGATCACTCCTCTCTCAATTATTCATCTTCCTGGTGGAACTCAAATTCGACACCAATAACCTTCATGGATGAATTTATAAGTTAGTCTCAAGAAATTGCAAAGAAAATAAATCTTAAAATTATTCCATGAAGGTCACTGGTTTCGAATTTGGAATCCAGCAAAAAAACAATTGAGAGAGGAGTAATGATTTCAGTTTTGGGTTCAAAGTTTCAAACTCTGCGACGGTTTTGGAAAAGAAGTGCGAGAGGAGAGAGGAGCTTAATTGAGGAATTAGAGGAGCGTGAATTTGCAAAATTTTTCACGTTTTTAACAGAAATGTTAACAAAGGACCTTTTTTGGAAAACCATATCATAATTGAGGACTAAATTATTGATATTTGATATGTAGAGACTAAATATGTAAAACGAACTATAACTGGGGACCTTTTATGGAATTTACTCATTTAAATAAAGAAACATAAAAAACTAAAATATAAAAAATTAAATGTAAAAAATGTTTTTAACAAAATGCTTTTACAAACTAAAGTGAGATGACAATTAACAAAATGATATTTTAAGTGTGTGTTAATAATTTTAAATTCATTTACAAAGAATTGAAATTAAAATAAAAGTACTACACAGAATAAAATTTGAAGCAAATTTTTAAAATATATTTATTATTTAATGAAAAAATATTAAAAGTTATTACATTTATAGTACATTTGTGTGTGTGTACACACACACACACTAGCATTGCTCCGTGCGATGCACGGATTCAAGGGCACGATTAAAGTTTAGTGTTATGTATTATTATGAACTTCTCTCATATGTCTCTTTTAGGTGTCTTTGTCTTGTATTGCTCAAAGTGTAGCATGTTGTTTTTGAGTTAGGTAGCTTGGTAATGTATTGTGATACTTTATCAAAAAATTCAATTTATTGATAATGTTAATTTACACATATGTAATGATAGCATATAATTGTATTTTTATGCATATTTTTTACTCTACAAATACGTAGGCAATGTCGAAAACTTCAATAACCATCTTAAATCTGTTTGCTGAAATAAACAAAATCATTTCGGCGAAATAATAAGAAGTCTATGTTAAGACTTTTTGTTTTAAACATTGAGCAGAGACTTTGCATCAAATATTATCGATGAGGCTACACTGCATGATATTCATAGTAATATTGGTTAATTTGAGCTCAAAGCACGGAAGAATGTAAGTAATGGAAATTTACGAACTACGTGCATATGAAATATCTTACTCCGTCCGGTCCTAAAAACCTTTCTTGTTTGATATTTTTTAGTCAAACGGTGACACTTTTTGACCAGAAATTTTGAGAAAAGTATATTAATTTAGAATATAAATTCAATGTAGTTGGTTTCATCTTAAGATTTAGTTTTGATATATCAAATATTTACATCATTTCTTTATTTAGATTATATTTAATTTGTTGCAAAAAATGTCACTATTTGACTAAAAAAACTCAAAACAAGAAAGATTTTAGTGTTGAATAGGACCAGAAACTCAAGATATAAAGCACAAAATTTTTTTTGCAAGCATTGTAATTCTATCTAAGCCCAAAACTGCTTAACATGTGGGTAAAACTAAACATATCATAGTGTTAATTAAAATAGTTGAATAATACGATATTGTTAAAGGTTACCACCAATACTCGTAATAAACGAGTGTAATCTAAGGCTAGAAGTGAAGAAAAGTAAAATAAGTACAATATTTAAATCACATAAAGTTATGATATAATTTGATAATAATTGGTCTCATTTAATAATTGGTCAACTGCCGTATAGATTCTCGAAAAAAGGAGTCTAGGTTTTCGAAAACTTTAGCTCCGATACCATGATACAATTTGATAATAATTGGTCTCATTTAATAATGAAGGATACATCCCTATATACAGAGATTATAAGAGAGAATTCTAATCTAAGTTGGAGAATAGTTATAATAACAATACAATAAAAAAGTAATATAATAAGGAAGGTAATAAATAATACTCCGTAATATTCTATATTTAGTACAATCATTATTTCTAATAATTCTTATTGAAATAAGATCATAAAAACAATTTAAGTGTAGCCACAATCAAATCAGAACTTAATCGAATAACAATTAGAAGAGAACAAAGCCAAAATTTCCAAATATGGTTCGTTGACTTCGGAAATCATTATCCACTGACTTGTAATTTTTCAAATACTCAAAAGATTAAAAAAATGAAAAAGTGACTTCCAAAAATAATTTCCTGATCCCATACAGACCTTTATTGGCCTCAAGTAGTCGAACTGTCGAAATGTTTATTACTCTTTTCATCTCAATTTAAATCATTCGTTTCAGTTTACGATATTTGAATGATATTATTTTCAATGTAATTTGTTAGAAAATAAGAGCGAATTTAAAAAATAAATTTTACATATTAAAAAACTACATAAAAACTTTATGTAGCAAGAGTTCATGATTATAATTTTATCAAATGAGTAATGAAAATACAAGCAACTTAATTGAATACGAAAGGAGTACTTTTTATAAATAAATTTGTTTAGTTGATTCCAGATTTTATGAAATTTGTTTACTCGAATTCCTACAAATAATTAGTCATATTTTTGAACCATCGGTTTGTACTCTCACTTTTTTGTTCTGCCGTCTCTCTTTCTTGAGAAGGCCGTAAAATGGGATTCAACCTTTTGTTTTTTGGGAAGGAACGTAAAATCTTGATTTTTATCCAAAAAAAAAAAAAAACTGTTACTGTATTAAAGTCAACACCCATACAGACTCCAAATTTTAGACTTCAAGTGACTGAAAATCAGGCTCCACCCAAACAGGCCCCTAAGGATTGGGGACACTTTTTTTAACAATACATTAAATGTGAACTAATTTTACTAGTGCTGGTAGGAATCCATATAATAAAAAAACCATTTGAACTTTGAACCTTTTTGGGCAACATCACATACTCAAGAATGCACAAAAGAGTTAATTAATTAAGCCAGATTAGCCAATTCATAAAACATACTAACATACATGAACAATGTGACTAGTAAAGATTTAGTAACAATAACAACATTTCTTGCTGGATGTCCATGTCAAACCAGTGGAGGAAAACTAAAGTTCAGAGCCTTCCAAAGTTTCTTTTATGCGGGATTTTTCGTTTTTCAAAAAAAAAAAGGAAATTATTTCAGTAGGGTGATGGTTTCTAGCAATGCCACAAATAAAATATATCCTACAAAAAGCTAAACCTATCCCAAAGAGGTGGGTAAATAAACCTTTGAAGCCTTGCAAACGTTAGCAGTGACATTCTTTCATCACTAGCTGTCCCCTCCCACCACCATAGCACAACCATCAAACAAGGGTGGCTCAGAAACCGGCGGTTCTTAATTATTGAAGATTCATCGGCGGCTTCTTGAAATTTTTAAGATGTGGAGGGGGCTGGGGGCACATTTGATGCGAAAAGAAAGAAGAGAAATGGTACGGTACCTATATAAGCCCCTCTCACAAATTGCAATTGCACCCAGAGATTGAGTCATTCCTTCTTCTACCCCTGCGGTGATGTTATTATTGTGATTGATACTATGCAGCATAATACATGTACAGGCTGTTTGCAGCGGCACAGGCGATTGAGTTTTCAGTTGGATGCCAAGCAAGATGAAGCAATTTCGTTGAGAAATCGTATGAATTTCCATTTGCATCTGGACTTTCTGATCCTCCTGCAATAATAAAGGTAGGTAGGTAGTAGGGAATCAGATTTGCCCCTTTACAAATGTATATATATTAGGCAAAGAAAACTTATAATGTTTATTATTAAAAAGAAACAAGAAAAAAAAAAGCAGACCTCGCCTGACAACACGGCTTATACTACTGCTCAGGGATCTGGCTGGCCTTGAAGGGGTGGTCTGGACTTGTCTCCTGAAGGGGGGAGCAGGTGTGTGTAAGCAAAAGTTTCATAGCAATGTATCAACTGTTTGTGACACCTCACGTCTGACCAGAATGTACATATATGCATACCTCATAGGATTTTTATTTGCTTCCAGTGTGGTTGCTTCTGTGTTTCCTGGACCAGAGCCAAACACGCGGAACAGATTGCTGAAAGAAACCAAGGGCAATTTAGTTAAAGGTGTACGTAGAGAGACCCTGTAAATATGTACTCCCTTTGTCCACAAATTAACTTCCAGTTTGACTTGGCGTGAATAATTTATGTGAGGTGAAAATGGTGTTGACTTTCTGGCAGCATCCACCCTCTGTGCTCGCCAGAAAGATGAAAGGGCAATAGTGAAACAGGCACGGCGGCCCCTTTTTTAGGGGCGAACCATCCACAACAACCACCTTGGTTGATCTGGTTCTGGAAAACACCTGTGGAGATGTGCTGCAGTGCCGGAGAATACAGCAGACCTCAGCCGATATGACTCTGTTTTCGAAGTTTTAAGGCAGATCTGAGTGCAGAATTTTCGGATACGAGTATTTCCAACCTGAGCTTGGAAGATCTAAGCTAGATTTGATTTCCTTCCTCCCGTTGGCATGATTTCCACCACAACTTTTGGTTGGTTGTGACGACGCAAGCAAGGTCGTAATCCAGTTTGGCTCTTGTTAGGAAGTGGGCATAACAATGACGATAGACAATTTTAATGGAAGTTCCGGTTCGACGCAACATGAGCTTTTCGATCAGCTAAGATGTGCAAGAATTGTGTGCATGTGAATTGATTAGGGGTGGGGGGGTAAAAGAGACATTTTAGTGTTTTTTTCTAAATGAGGAAACAGAAAGATAATTTATGGACAACCCAAAAAGGAAAGTGGGAAGTAAAATATTGGAAAGAAGGAGTATATATAGTTCCCTACCTAGAACGGGCAAAAATATATAACAGGAGCAGTAAACTGGATACATAAAAATGTGGATACACACCTGTAAGACCCTGTAGCTACTCGCAGGCCATCACCGCTCAAGCAACATTCAAATTTATCAAAGATGGAGTCATTCTCATATAAATCGCATAGCTGAAAGTCATCAAATTATTCCATTACATCACTGCCGCTTTTTGTAAAAAAAATGAAGAACTCTTAAACAGTTTCTTAGGAGATGTGTCATTTACCTTTGGTCTTAAATATTCATGAACCTGGAATGTTGAGACTGGCCCAGAATCCATATTTATGTCCCATAACTGGCAAGGAGTCGAGAAATAATTAGTTTGGACCATAATTAATGTTTTCTTGACCATTATTTATTTTGTTAAAATGAGAGCACACGTCAGAGTAGGTTAATTAAACTACCTACCTTGAGTGTCATGTAATCGCGACTGAGAATGTATCTTCCATCTCTTGCAAATTTAATATCAGAAATCGAGGCAATTATCTCAGTGAAGAAGGACCTTGAACCAGGTGGCTCCTGCTCCTCAAACCTGTTGGGTCACCAGAAAAGGAACCAATTTCAGTGGTTAGACAAACAAACAAACCCAAATTTAGCTAAAATTCACCATAAGAATGAAAGCACAAAACCCTAGGGTGGGGATGGCACTCACAATTTGGAATGTGAATCACACAATGCTGATTGCCGTAAGTCAATGAGATGAATAGATCCTTTTGAACTACTATAAGCTAACGTGTTACAATGGGTTGGGTGAAACTCTGCCGAAGTTATAACCTCTGCAATGCCAAATCAAACCTATGATTAATGTTTGTGTGTATACCGGGACTAAGAAACACAAGAACACAAATCTCAAAACCTCAAATGGTAGTTGGGTACATAAACATTTTCTACTATATTGGGAAATTAACAGCAAAAAAAAAGTGATGCACAATTTGATTCCAAGCCGTCGGTTAACCGCCCAGATGTAAAAGACTTTAGATGAAAATGCCCATTAGTTAGGCAAGAAGAAAGCAGGACATGGATTTAGTCAATATAAATCTCTTAAGTCTTAACAAAGCTTTGATAAACATGGAAGAAAACTCAAGTAGAAGGTTCACTACTTAATAGTCTCCAACTTCGGAAAAACAGCAAAAGCATATGCTCCTGCTAGGGAACAAAGAAAATCCATTTTCATTGGAGACTATTTGTTTCAATACAAACAATAGAATTAAGCCTTAATCCCAAGATCTAGTCGGGATCAGAATCAAATTAAACACAAGTGACATAGAAAGTGAAACTAATTACAGCAAAGAGTCAATCATTTGCACTAGTTTTGGTACCTAACCATTTCTTTAAAATGCCAATTTATTCTAGTAAATTCAAATTTGATAAAAAAATTATCTAAATTCCAATTCTAACAAAATAAACCTTGTTAGAATGCTACATTGGTGGATGGTCAGCAAAAGCTACACAGTCACATGCCACATTAGCAGAAATTAATATCCCTTAACTACGGTAAAAAAACTACTAACTATTGTGATTACATGACCTTAGGTTTTGAATAATCGGATAACATAAAGAGAATTTAAAAGGATGATTAATAGACAAGCCACATCAGAATAATTCAGACCGAACTCGGATCCGGTTTAACCCGTCTCAACTGCCAAATACCCCACAACGAATAAGTTGTTAGAACTAAACAAAAATAAATTGATAGAATCAAAAGAAAAATGAAAAAATGTAGACTTTGAAAAAGATCCTGTATGCAATCTCACTTTTATCACAACTGATGTGATCTGTAATGTGGCCTATGACTGCAACTTTCATAAGCAATGTGCCAATGTGGCAAGAGGGTGAGGCATAACGCTGACCAAAATTAGAATTAAGCTACATTTTTTTATCAAAAGTGAAATTAACCGCTACATTGACCATTTTAAAGGATTGGATAGATTGGTATATTCCACAAGCAAGTGAAGAATTTGTTTTTGTAGTAATTAGGGCAAACTTAAAAATTATATAAGACCACACAGAAAGACCCACAAACAAAATTAAGAAACCTACCTGTTAGATCTTCCATATTTGCTGGTTTTACATCAACAATATTGAAGCTTTGGTCACTTATTTCCAAGTTCCACAGATTTATTCGTAAATCATCAGCTGATATAAATGTTTCACCATCACTGGTTTGAGAGACGCAAAAGAAATTAGTTGAACCCAAAAGAAAGCACATCACACATATGCACCATAGGCAATGAAATGCAAACCTGTTGTTTGAAATGGAATTGATATGATAGTCATGAGCATGGGCATATACTCTTCTACATTTTGCTACAAGGCTGGAATCATTACTTGTAACCTATGAATAATACTTAAGAGTGTCAAAATACAAACATATGATAAGTTCATTAAATAAAGATAAAGCTATGTGGCTATGCGAATGAAAGAAAATCCAAAATAAGAACTCACTGAAGAACACACAATTTATTAATGTCAATCCAAGCAAATGAATTCTATCTTAGTTTAATCTTTTAAGCCTAAAGTTATGAACTCACATCCAAATGGAATAGTGTTGAGAGAACTGAGATGCAAATCCGCATACACAAGTGCAACGAAGGATTTTCAAGCATGTAAGCTCATAGATGAATACACGTGATTAAATGTAAAGCACATATTAAACTCAGTGCCCATTTGGTGCCGCTAATTTACGGGCGATATGGCATCTAAGTCAAACTTCCCACCAAAGACCTACCCATCTGTTTTTTGTTGTTGAATGGGGTGATAAGTTGATAACTTAAAAAGAGCAGCGCGAGTTACTTTTTTATTGGGATGACTGAAAGGAAGATATAAAATAATCCTACTGACCATCTTTTAGATATTAATTTCTTTGATTTAACACAATTGCATTTTAAGTACTTATTAGGTGATTTTATCACCAAGTCATTTCAACCATTTCAGTGATACTCTCAACAAATATCATTTCAGTCTAACACGGTAACTCAAAAAAGATGAGCCCTTGGTGATGAAGTAAAGTCACATTGCAAATGGAAGCAGTTGGGTATGATAAAATGTTTTTAGGTAAAATTAGAATAATCATACCCTTAAAAGCCTTGAAGAAGTTTGTTTTTCAATATACACTTGCAGTAAAAACAAATTAATCCATTGGGAAAAAAATTCACAGCAACAAACAAAATGTCCCAATGTACTCCCACAAATGGGTCTGGAAGGGTAGGATGTAGGTAGACTTTGCGTCTACCTGTGAAGGGTGAAGATGCTGTTTTTTATAGACCCTCAGCTCAGAAGGACCACTGAAAACGTTTGTTTTTTTTTTTCAAATTTGACTTAAGGTATAAAAAAATGATTCTAAAGGAAGTGTAAATATAGACCCTAGTGGTGGAACCCTTCCCCAGACTCCCACTCGGCAGGGACACATTGTGCACCAACTGCCCTTAAGAGTTATATCCAGAATGGCAGGTAGACTATTTCTCAATTAAGTTGAACTTATGGAATTTGTGAACTCTTCAACAATAGAAATCCAACATTACACAAACAAAAGAAGTAAAATTTAATTATTACTATTCTGAAAGTTGAAACAAATAAATCTAAAACTATCTTCACATATTGTCGTCATCTTTCAAGTTTCAACACAATACTGGCCTTTTTGCACTGCTAAACATGCAAATGGTTAATGGATTTTTCAAAACTCAACATGTAAACAGGTAAAAATATTCAAAACAAACATAGAAATGAGTCATAGGTCTGCATGTGTAAATCGATCAGATTAGTGTAAGTACAACTACCACAGGCAGACGAAGTGCAGAGATGCTACTGGCAGGAAATGATGAGTCATTGCTCAAACAATTGTAAGGTCTATCAAGATAGCTGCCATTTGTAAGATGCTGGTTTGAAGTCATAGAAACACTAGAACTGGCAGCATTGACACTTCCAATAGATCTAGAAGGGTCAATATTCAAGTCAGCTATTTTCTTGACTTTCTTCTCTAGCACCTGTGAGAATAAAAATCAGTGGTCAAAAACATCCCTTCCAGACTCCGACATAAGAAATCTATAAAAAGCTCAAAGAGAAGCACACTTTAACATATCATCTTACAGCTCCACAAACTGAAAAGAGGTGGAAAAAAAACATTGATTTAAGTAAACGATTTACCTTCCAAAACTTTATTGTTTTATCGTTGGTGGACAGAAGAAAGAGAGTGTTGTTAGCTGCTTGGCACCATCGAATCTTGTTAATTTTCTCCTCAATCTCCAAACTTTTGAGATAATCAAACTACATAGAATTGATAAGAAAGATTGGTTAAAATTTGCCTTGAAATCCTTTCCAAACAGGACAAACAAGATCATATACGACACAATCCATGCCAATAGAATATACATAGGCAACTCAAGGCATAGAAAATAGACTTAAACTTAAGCAAGTAGCCGAGTATCTAGCAAAATGATCCCTTTTTGGAATACAAAATATATTGTTCTGTTCTGAGTATCTTGCACTTTCATCCATTTGACTTTCATGAAAATATGCACATCAGGTGCATACCTCTGGTTCGTGGCTTTGAAATTCTGTCTTGTACCGAAATTCTGGATGCCGACTAACTGGATAGTCCATTCTTTCCAACTCTCTCCGACTTCCAACAGGCTAAGTGGCTCAATTGGAAGAGGAAAAAGGATATCAGTTTTCGTCCACTGCAAATATTTAGAATCAGTTCAAGTCCAAAATTGCCTACCTCTTTAGCATCAGTCCTTTCAAATAATACCACTCTGCCCCCACGATCACCGGTGGCGAGATGGTCCCCACTTTTGTCATACTCAATTGCTGAAATGATATCAACTGCAAAATAAAGGGCAAGCAGACATGAAGTTTACAATTAATGTATAATCATGGATATAAGTTATGACTTGCATTTGCAGTATGGATTAGTCACTATTACAAATCCATCAAAGGAAACCCAAGTATGTTTTCAAATTTCATATCACAAAAGCCATAATGTAAAAGCACATTAAATGCATTTTGATTCAATACTTGAGGAAATCTATTTCAACATAAACAAACCCTGTAAAATTCCAACTCTGTTTGAGTCTGAGGTTAATGTGCATGCATTTTACCCTTGTAAAAAATAGAGACTGTTTCCGTTGCTTACAACAACAACAACAACCCAGTATGATCCCACGAAAGTAGGGTCTGGGGAGGGTGTGCCTATGCAAACATTGCCAAAATTTATTTACAAATCATGAGGTAGGCAAAAAACAATCACAAACCATCTGGGTGGACTCCAAGTCTCCAACATTATTGAACCGAAATAGTATCACTCATTTTGTTGAAGTAAATCATGAGTTAACTCTGTAGGATAAATTATTTTCTAAACTAAGCTCGTTTAAAAATATTGGTAACACCAGAGCAATCTTGAGCTATTAATCCATGTCTTCATAATTTGTTTTTTTAATGTGATATACTTTCTTAATACTTCTCATAGTTGTCAGTGCATTGCAGTCCTATGTGTACTTTTATGCATGAAAATGACCTAGCAAGGTATTTTGTAAGGGAGAAAAGGTAAAATCACCTTTTCCTAATTATTAATAATGATAAAGCTAGAGTATTTTAAAAAATCTTCAATTTTGAAATTGTGTATGACATATTTATCAGTATCACTTTTTATGAATGATGTTGAGCTCCAGGGTTGCCTTAAAGTTTTTAACCCAAGACGCTTATTGTAATTGTCTTCATATTCTTATTTTCCTTATTGGCACTGCACTCGTTTTCTCCATTAGAAATAAAACTTTCTTCAAATAGCCCTAAATCATATGTTTCATTATTTGCTCAAAGCTGAACCGCAGCACCACATAACTGAAGTCATGCAACAGATTCTTTGCAACTCATAGCTGAATACAATGCAGTTTACCAGAACTCTAAAATCTACATGCAAGCATTATAGGCAAAATTTTTGAATGTTGAAAACCCTCCTATACAATTTTACAGTACATTTACTGGATGAATAAATATTAGATCACACCAGTTTGAAAAAAAAAGTAAGTATACAAGTTTTTTCACCCAAAGCAAGAGTTCTTCGATCTGATTAGGATCAAGGATTCCAGAACTCTAAAATTTACTTGCAACCATTAAATGCAAAAGTTCTGGATCTTGAGAAACCCTTATACAATTCTACAATACATTAGGAACAGAAACAACAACAAACCCAGTTGAATCTCACAAAAAGTAGGGTCTCGGGAGAGTGAGTGTCCAGAGACCTTACCCCTACAGGGAAATAGAGTTTACAGTACATTTATAGGATGAGTAAATAATAGCTCACACCATTTTGAAAGAAATATTACAATACATGTTTTTTTCACCCAAAGCAAGAATTCTCCAATCTAAACTGAAATCTATAAAGTCTATTACCAAATAAGGTCAACATACGAGCTTCATATGCAAATATAAAAGGAACATATTTTATATCAGGGAAGTAGTGTATGATAGAGTTTTGCGTTAAAAACTACTCCATACGTGGTTTCCAAATTGCAAAAGTAAACTTGACTTCTGAATTTTCTACCTTAGGAATAGAAGGTTGAAATTTGATTGTTTCAAAATGCAAAAAATGAATCTTCCCAAATATCTTTTCGACTTTTGGTAAAGGACACTATTTTTTTTTGAATCGGTAACAAGAGCTAGCATGTGCACCATTAATCACTCACAAATCACCCACATCAAAATGACAACGGCCTCCAATCACTGCATGGCACCTCAGACTCCCTGTATAGCACTATTACTTCCACATAACAATTACCACTAAGGCACTATTACTTACACTGGTCCACATACTTTAATTCTAGAGTAGATCATACTGTCACAACTTAGTCATCACTAACTCGAGCTTTAAGAAGCGTAAGGAGATTTTGGTAGAGTGTTTTAAAAAGACTCTAAATTAATCCCAAGTGAGAACCTTACAACCCATCATAAGCTTGTAGTGATGGAGGTTGCTGTCAGATGCAGAGGAAGAGCTGAGCTTCAGGTGGTTTACCCTGTATTCGGTGGAGGGGCTTGGATAAGGATAGTATTCATGAGCTGGTTTAGAAGGTACAAGCAAAGGGTGTGTGGTTGACTAGTGGAGATGCTGACGCTATGTGGTCTACAACCGCCAACTGAACCAGGGAGGTTGCTGATGCTATGTGGCAAAGCTCCCAAAGTGCAAGAGTTTGAGCCATAATTGTGATTATAATTCACCTTATATCTAGGCATGAATGCACCACCCACACAAGATCCTTTTTCAGAGAATGAGATTGTGGTGTGAAAAACAGACAATAAAACACCAAAATGTATCTTCGTCATACTGATGCTAATCTATCCATTCAAACAACTCACCACACATAATATACAATGGGTCTAGTAAGGGATATAACATCATGAACGAATACATTTCAAAGCATAGTGAAAAAAACTAGTATGTGTACATTAAACATAACCAATAACATGCAAAAAGAATACAGTTTTTGAGGTTCTCCAGCATGTAAATCCCAGTGAAAAACCTAATAAGTCTGACTGTACGGCCATAAGGATGTTTTCTAACATTTATGCACACAGCTCTATGTTCCTCGGGCAGGATGGTTTACCCATTTCAAGCAAAAAGGTCAGGAAATGCATATCACTCTAAGCACATCTAAAATCTAATACGTAGTAGATTTTATCCCCCCCCCCATGCGAACCTACATCATTTGCCAGAAGCCAATATGTAAACCAATTATACTGTTAGTAACTCAGTATACACTGCCAACTGGGAAAGGGTACTTGCAATTTAAGGCTTTTCCCAAGAAGATTCTCTCAGGGCTTATTCTATCTATCTATCAGGACCAATTACAACCACTCCTCTCAATCATAATGGAGATGATCATAGATCTGGTTAAAAGTCAAAAAAATCTAACAAGGCAAAAGTCGAACAATAAGTGAGCTCAATTGATGCAGTTTAATGCTTACTAAATGAGGAAAAAGAATGCAGTCTAAGCTCCTAGAGATTAACAAACAGAAAAACAAAACCTTATGGGATCAGTGACAGACGCAGCCAACAGATCCGAATCCAACAGAGCAGCGAAAATGAGAGTTCACAAAAAAAACATAGGCTTTACCTTCCTGTACTTCTTCTCCCTCCGTGCGCTCACCAAATACCTGAGAGAATTTCCATTCAAGAGGCTGAGGCGGAGCCGCGCCGTTCCCTCCACCTCCGTCGCCGCCGTACATCTTATATATCTCTCTCTCTATCTATCTATCTGCTCCCACGGAATCAAGGGGCGAAGCAACAGACAAGCCAACCCGAACGAATCACCAAAGCTAAATCGAAATCGGAATGCGGAAAAAACCTCGAATCGGACAAAGAATGCGAGCCCAATCACCCCTCAGGCCTCACTACATCGAACGATCTCCCTTGATGAATTCGCAACCTCTTCTCGCGAAATGTTTGGACTCCGATTCAGCCTTCTGACCATTACAAGTGCAGATACGAACAGAGCCCCATGGAAGCTTTCTTTGGCTGCGATTTCTCTCCCTTCCCCTCTCACTTTCTCTCTCTAAAAGTTTTGGAGTGGAAGGAAGAAGAACAAGGAGAGAGGGGACGAGGACAGAAATGTAAATTCAGAACAGCGCAACCCGAAGTACTATCCTTTTTCCGTCTACTGCGACTGTGTATAATTTTTTGTTAGCTCTCCGTCAATTAAATTGTCTGTCTTTTTTTCGGACGTTTCGTAAAATCACTGTCGGCTTGAGTCAACTCGCTCGCTCACTCATTGGCTCATATCATTCGGCGTGGGTGCTGAACTGCGAAAATGAGGGGCGGACAAATATATTGATCCTACATTAAATTGCTACGGGACCCGTTCTCAAAAAAAAAAAAAAGAATAGAAAATTTCGAACATATTGTTAGCCTTTTACTACTAAAAATGTTATAAAAATGTTATTAAGGAGGTTGTATTCAATCTAGACTTTATAGGATTTTTTTGTATTTTAAAAGTTTGTAGGTATTCATTTAAGATTTTAAAGAATCTTTCAAAATCTGAAAATATTCAATTTCGATTTTAAAAAATCATTTAAAATCTCAAAGTATTCAATTAAGATTTTAAAATGTTCATTAAAATTTAGTAGTATTAAAAAATCAATGGATTTCCAAAAAGTTTTATCAAATAAGGATTCTAAAGGATTTTAGAGTTCTTTTTGTACAAAAAATGCTATATACAAATCCCACCACAAATATAGAGATTTTGAAGGATACTTTCGTATCTTGATATGCTCTTCCTCCTTATCTTTATCTGTTCATCTTCTATATCTTGGTCTGCTCGTCTTCTGTATCAATTTGCTCAGCGGCTTAAATCTGTGCACAATCACCCTGCTCCTGCTATGCTCTCGTGTTCTCCTGCGACCGCGACGGTAATTGAACCTGTGGTGGCGCGAGGCTGGCTACTTGCAGACGGCAGCGACCCTCCATCGCTGCTTTATTCCAATCGAAACATTGTTGTTCTTTTTGGATCTTTGGTTGTATCGGCTTCTTCCTAATAATCCAATTTCTCCCCAAATTCGTCCGATAAGATTTCTTTTTCTCTTGCTGAAATCTTCCGATAGAATTTTTTGTTCAAAGATGTTGGAGATTTTTTTCCTTCATTGTTGGAATTGCTCGGTGGTTAGGTCTGATTTTTTGTCCGATCAACTTGCCGGGAGTGGGAGCATCATTGCTTCTGATGGATGTCTTCCGATTTAGAAATGAGTTAGAAGAAAGGATTTTTGGACTTTTAAAAATCTAAACAAATTCTAACAAGTCTTGATTAGAATATATATTCAAATCTATGTAGAATTTAAACAATCCATAAATCTTACATAATCTATGAATTATAAAAAGTATAAGATAATCATTTAAAATTTGAATTGAATACACCCCCTAACTAATTATACATTTTAATTTTCTAATTTCTAATTCTTACTTATTTGGAACACCTTTAGCTTACCTTAATTTTAATATCTTAAATGGGCATGGTTCCGTTGACACTCGCTAATGGTGACACTAGCAGTGTCACTGCATTTTTGGAGCACTTCCGGTGCTCCAATCCGAAAATTGATTGTACCTACTCCCTCCTAACCCACCCCTTAAGCCTCCTCCAAATGTGTGGCCATTATGCAATGCGATGCATAATAGCCACACAGTTGATGCATAATAGCCACACAGTTGGAGGAGATCTTAGGGCGGGACTAGGGTGGGGATAGCCGGATAGGGGGTGGGTTTAGGGGGTGGAATCGTCAATTTTTATTGAAGCACCAGAGGTGCTCCAAAAATGCAGTGGCAACACTAGTGTCATCGTTGGCATGTGTCAACGGAACCCTACTCAACTCTTCTTAAATTACTTAGGGGTCATTTGGTGAGGAACAAAGATATGTGTTTTAATATCTCCGATATTAAATTTCTAAAAACTATGTTTGGTGATGATAAAAAGGGAACCAAATATCATATCGCCAGATATGCAATATCCTCAAATATGTCACAACTCCAAATCGGCCATTTTTTGCCAATTTCAGACTTCCCCATCTGACCATCTCCGGTGATATGTACTCTTCCCTTCTTCAAACTGCACAATCTCTTCTCATCTCACATCTCGCATCTCCTCCTTATAGATTGTCGTCTTCAACCTCCCTCATCAGCGCAAGATGCCGCCGCCCTATTCAAAGCCCCAACCGCCATCCTCAGGACAAAGCATCCCTGGAGTTGTCGCCGCCCAATTCAAAGATCCAGCCCGCCGTCCTCCGCCTCTGTCCTCAGCCCATGTCGCCCCCGCCCATGCCAAACCTCTGGCCGCCATCCTCATATTCAATTTTTCAATTTGTTTTTCAATTTTTTTACCCAACATCAAAATGTTAGAATTAATTCCATACTAATTCTCTCCAAACACTTTCCTTTCAGATTTAAAAATTCATATCATTTCTCACAAATTTTAAAATCCATATCTTATCATATCTCTAAAACTCACCAAACGGACCCTTAGTGAAATTTTCACTAAATAGTACTAAAACATACTTCATTCGTCCCTATTTAAATTGTCTGTTTCGATTTACGATGTTTGACTGGAGTTATTTTCAGATCATTTTATATGAAAAATGATGTAGAATAAAAATATATAAATTATATACTTGGTCCGTCCCTGAGTGTTTGTCCACTTTTGACTTTTGGAACTGTTCATCTAAGCACTTTGACTCATCAAATTCTCTCAATGTGTAAGCCAAAAAATAGTCATGTGTGATCTTGTTTGATTCGTCTTAACATATAGATTATTAATATATAATTTTTATAATTTTTTAATATACAAATTACAAGATAAAATGGATTAAAGAAGTGCATTGGATGATGTGCAAAAATGAAAGTGGACAAATACTCAAGGACGGAGGGAGTATTTAAAAACTATATAAAAAGATCTACAATACTAGTGGTGACGTGACTATATTATTTTATCAAATGACAAACAAAATAGAGAAAAAAATGGATGAAGTTTGACTCTATGAATAGTAGACAAACAATTTAATTAAGGACTTATAGATGGTGATGGTGTAAATTAACCACCGGGTAAACAGTTCTAGACCGGGTTTAGGATTGTTTAATGGATTCGAGAAAGTAAAAGTTAGTAAACACAAAGGTTAACCGGGAGGACTGTATGTGAAAACACATGTAACTCAATTGTTATTAGAATATAGTAAAGTGCACGGGAGCTATTACGCAAGGGTTTTTAGATAGAAGAATTCGGATCCCTCCCTTTGAGCGTTATACAGGTATTTTATAAGGAAAGGGAGGGGACAGAGCGATGTGCGTCCACGTCGACCCATGTTATCAGATGGTGTGAGGTGGCTTCCCATTTGTCTGGTAGCATTTAGTCTCATTCCCTTGTTGTTTTGTGCTGGTGACTCCTCTTTCGGTGCGTAAAGTCCACCAGAGATTGAAGGAATATTTCCCCAATCTCTCATTGAAAATCGATCACTACTGTTCAAACGATCTTGGAGTTATTCGTTTCGACACTTTTACACCTTAGAAAACTACCGAGTAGGTTTATCTTGTATGTTTCAAAGGGTTAGAAGTCCGCCAGCTCGAAGTCATATATTCTAACCGGTGGGTTTATATACGGCACCAGTCAACTTTTTTTACTTTAACCGGTGGCCTATCTTTAATTTAAATCTTCCACGCTGTCATGTCTGCAACTTGATCGGTTACTTTATGCGGGCCAGTTTCGGACTGAGTTCTGGGTGGAATACACCCATCAATAAGCCCTCCACTTCCCGACCGTGTAATTTTATCAAGGGTGATAAGTAAAAATCTGGAATCCGGTGGTTGAAATTTGAATTTTTAAACTTTCCGCCTAAAATTTTGGATTTTAAACTCTTCCTGCTTAATCTTTTAAAGGTTTGAAATTCAAATTTTGAATTTCATCCATGTGTCGGGCCTCTTCCGTATGCCATCATTTCATTTTTCCCACCTGTTTCGCCTTCCCAAGCGACACGCGTGCGCCCGCTGAAGCGGCGCTTCCTATGCCTGCCACGCGTCACCATCCCCTCCTCTATGTCTCCTATATAAAGGCTTCTCCATCCTTCTCTTTTTCACTTTTCGCCAACCTGCTCCTGCGTCTTTACCCAGGCAAGTTCTTCCTCAACCCTCTTAGTCTTCTAATCATTAAGTAAGTTCCCGGTCCTGCTTTATTTTCCTTCACCAGTCATGTTTTAAAAGGATAGTCAAAACCTCTCCGTCGCCTCGTATCTGTCTACTTCTGATGATTCTTTCTCGTCCACTTCTTCTTCTCCTCCTTCTTCCTCATACTCTTCATCCCCTGCCCGGCCGGGAGGAACCGGTTCTTGAGGGTGTTCTGGTTTTGAACCCCGCACCCATAAACCGAGAACTGGGTCCCTTCGAGCCAAGTAGGGAGATCTGGGAGGAGTGGGAAAACCACCTTTAGGAGGCAGGTTATTTTCCACTCCCTAACGATAATGTTAGGGAGTACCCAACCTTTGTATCAAAGGCCGCTCTTAATAAGGCGCACCGGTTGCTTCTTAAGGGTTATATTTTGCAATATAACCCTAACAGGTATGACATCATAGAATCCCATCGGGGACGTAGGATAGGTTTCCATATCAAATCTCTACAAGGGGGTATAGTTTTTCCTCTCCGTCCCTCCTGGTTGGGGTCTGCCACGCATTTTCCATTCTTTTCGCGCATATCACCCCGAATGCCCATCGTATCTTGAACAGTTTCGTAAATATTTGTGAATCTCTTCGTATAAATCCTTCCCTTCCTCTTTTCTTCTTCATGTTCGAAATATTACCCGGTAGGGGTGATTGTGAGGGTTTTGTTTATTTCAAATCCCGAAAAAATAGGTCATTCATCTCTGGCCTCCCCCAAAGCAACCGCGGTTGGAAAAATCACTTTGTTTTCATCGACTTCTCGGAATTCAATTTTCTGCTGGCCGGTTGGCATTGAAATGGCCATCTCTTGAACCATGAATACGCATTACCGGCAAGTAACCTGCAGTTGGAGAGGGACTGCGAGACGCTTTTGCAAGGCGATCCCAACACTGGGGAGAACTTTTCCTTCAGGATTTGGGTGAAAAGAGTATGTCGGGGTGGTGAGGGTACCTTAGAGGCCCATGAAGTAGGGGGCACGGGGTATCCTCCCCGGGTAACACTATAGAGGTCGGGTGCCATCCTCACCTAGGTTTGCTTTCTTTTCTTAATTCATGTTGTCTCTCTACCGGTTTTGTTGTCTATACATTACAATTTTACTTAAATTTGCAGATTTGGAATTGACTTCTTCGAGCTCCCAAAGAGGACCAGTATCTCCAGTGCTAGTGGCTCCAAGGCGGCTCCTGCAAAAACCTACAAGGTTCAGCATGAGACCATGGAGATCTTGGACGAGGAGGACGCCCAACCAACCGGGGCAGCAACTTAGAATCCTTCACCAAACAAGGGGAAAAAGACTTGGGTGAAGAAGGTGATAACTACCCACCCCTCTGTGAAGAAAAAAGAGGGGAGAGCCAACCAGGAGTTCAATCCTTGGAGGAGCTCTGGGTCTTGCTTAGCATGTAACGCCCCAAAATATACCCTAAAAGTTATATTGAATTATTATTCAAATAAAAAATTTGTTTAGATTAAAATAAATTATTATTGGGCTTTGGGCTGAAATGATATATATATATATATATATATATATATATATATATAAGGATTTTATTGAAGGAAAATGAGAGAGAGGATACATGGGGGCCCCCAAGGGCAATACAAGAAGATCACAACCAGCTTATACAAAGGATTTAAATAAAATTCGACGACCATTTCGCCAAAAGGAATCTAATCCCATGCCTTTGAAGTCGCCATCATGGGCCATCCATTTTTTTGTTCCTGTTTATCCATGCCCAAGCTTGGAGAGTTTTGAGGCAAGTTTTAATAATACCCTCCACTGTCGGTTTCACTGCGTTATGAATATAAGAGTTACGTGCCTTCCACAAGGACCAAGTGCATAGTCCTGGGGAGAAGAGACGGAGGTTTCCTCTGAAGTGTTTGGTGTTGCTACCAAACCACCATGCAAGAAGGTGTTGACGTAATGTGGTGTTCTCCTTAACCCTTGGGCCGTTGGAAATGGAAGCCATGAAGTTCCATACCTCTTTTGCAATAGGACAGTGGAGCATGGAGTGGTCAATGTCATCGTTAGCATTATGGCATATAGGACAGGAACTGGGAAGGGCTGCTGTGAAAAGACATAGGTTTTTAGGGAAAGGAAGGGCATTGTTTAGGAGTCTCCACAAGAAGATCTTGATTTTAGGGATGTTTGAGCTGTGCCAGATGTATTTGCAGGACAATAGATTTGTCCCACTTTCCTGAACCATTTTGAAAGCACTCTTGAGACTAAAGTTTCCTCCTTCCCAAAGCAAACCTAAACTAGTAGTGGTGGTATGGGATGTTGCAAGCTCATTAGATCTGCAAATCCTTTTCCACGTTAGAGAATCAGTGATCCTTTCCTTCATGATTCCTGTTTTCATATATCTGGCTCTCACATAGGCCCCCCATAACCCAAAGTCATTTCTTGCCTTCCACCAAAGTTTAAGAGTGTATGATTGCTGTAGGTCCTTTATGCTTTTGATCCCCAGCCCTCCCTCTTCCTCAGGTTTTGTTATTTGTGCCCAGCTTACCCAGTGGTGCTTATTGGATCCTCCCTTTTGACCCCTATATATATATATATATATTCAATATGTTGGCTTATTGTGTGACCTTGGTTGGGAACCTGAGTACAGACCCAAATCAAGAGTAAATGAAGAAATTATTTATGATATGAACTTAGGAATGATTTATTGAAATAAATCATGAAAATAAATAATATGAATGGAATATAAGAACCTTTTTGACTAAAGGTCAAATAAATCAATTTTGACTCTGTCAAAGTCAACCACCCAAAAATATGATATCGGAAAAAGTATTACAAATAAATATGAAAATTATATCGTTGGATATAGTTTAACTGTTTGATCGCAATGGTGCAAACGGATTTCAATTCGGAGAAAGTTGGACCAAAGTGTACCCTGACCGGGACCAAAATTAGTCCCAATCAAGGACTTGCGTTTGGAATCGTGAATATCGCAGCCCTTCCCACTAAGACGCCGTAACAGGAACAGATACATCACCAAGCTTGGCAGCTTCTCCTACCTTCTTATATATAAACATCAGCAACACCTTTAATTCTTCACCAAATCATCTTGTTCTTTCTTCCATTTTGTTCTTTGTTGAGGGAGGAGTGCATTGGTGCTGTCAGCTTGGTGGGAGGTCGCAGGAGTTGGGAGTTATCGTTGCCGAAAGTTTCACCGGAAAATTTCCAAAACCTCCATTTAAGCTCGAGGTAAGCCCGTAAATATATCTAGTGACTAGAATGTTCTTATAGACCGTGTCTACGTTCATAAACGGCCGTTTGGTTGAGTTTTGTGTTTGACATGCTTGAAAAACCAAGAATCATAAACCATAAAATTGTTGTCAACTCTATGAATTAATGATACCAAAATGATCTATGAACTTTGGAGAACATTTCTATATATTTAATTGAAGTTGGGTGACTAAAAATGGTATTTTCAAAATTTGACCCGAAACAAAGAAGAAGATGAACAGTGACTGAAAAGCCACTTTCTGGATCGATCTAGGGGCTTGGATCGATCCACTAAGAGTATTTTTCATAGCCCGGACCGATCCAGAGGGCTGGATCGATTCCCCTGAAATTCTGACCCGAAAATATTTCTGAAAATGCTATTTTTGAGCTTTAAAATCATATTTTTGATACCAATAGATTATGATCAATATAAAGATGATTTTTCATAGTAAAAAATAATGTTTTTGACAAATAAAATCTTGTGTGATGCATGACGGTAAGCTAAGGTTTTAACACCCGAAGCTAGGCCGCTAATTGTTATTGAATATTATGTTAATTATTATTAATTGATGATTATGAGGATGATTACTGATTGATGATTATGATGATTAAACCTTGATGAATATTCTGATTTAAAATGATAAATATGAATGATTAAATCATAATGAATATATTGATGATTATGAAAATAATATGTATTGTTACGGGTATCTAGAATAATTCTAAAATACATCCACATTAATTTTAATTAGAAGGATATCTAGAAGAACTCTAAGATATATCCAAATGACCATTTTAGTTAATTGATATTGATTCCAATGGTATCTAGAATAACTCTAAGATATACCATAGTGATGTTAATTTTGAAGGGTATCTAGAAGACCTCTAAGATATACCCGTTTAAGTTAGGCCTTGCGGGTATAATTCCCGGTGAACAGGGTTAAAATGTATGTACGGGATCCAAGAACCAAACTTGAGTACCTACTCGTTTGGGGGTACCACCCAACCCAACAGTGAACACTATGCTGTCGATTTCTGGATGACCTTAAGCGAAGGTAAGTTTAAAATCTTAAAAACCTTTTTGAAAATCTGTATTTTAAACTAGGCCTAGCTTAAGGTTGGTTAGGAATAACTTAAACTAAAATTAGTTTAAGAATCAGATACCATAGACTAAGAATAGTCAAGGACATTGTGGAATGATGAATATTGAATGATGAATATTGTGAATATCATGAATGATAAATGACTTGAATTAAATATTGTGAACATTATGAACGACTGAGGAATGTTATATATGAATGATGATTATTAATGATGAATGTTGAATATGAACATTAATGTTGAATAATGAATGATCAAACTAAATATTGATTATTGAATATTTGAACTTAACATTATGTGCATGATATCAAATTATTTGATTATGAATTGAGATTCAATTTATATGGATGTTCGACGTATTAGATATGCTTACTCAGCTTCTACGCTAAGCGTGTAGTATGTTTTATTTGCTAAACGCAGGTTAATATAATGATGTGACGTGATCCTGGAGGCAGACGGAGGCGAGATAGTCGGAATGGATGTGATGGTTTTGAATTGAAGAATATAAATAAACTATGTTTATGATTGTGATTTGTTAAGCTTCCGCACTATTGAAAACTGTGTACAATTATGTTATGAAAAATATTATTGTGATAAATAAAAGTGTTGAAATGTTTTAAATTTTTACGATTACCAAGTTAATACTTTAGTCCAAAAGGGGCTGCAGACCTGGACGGATTAGGGTGTTACATGGCCTCAGGCTGAAAGAAGTAAGTTTCACCCGGTATTTTTATTATATGCGTCTTACATTTATCAAACCGTGCTAACAATTTTCCCTTGTCTTTTTTGGTAGCTTGGTGAGGTGGGGCCGGATGCCGATGACCGGTAGGGGTGGGCGTGAAATCCATTCCCGTTGGACCATTCCAAAAAATCCCAAATCCATTTAGTAATTGTACCGATTAGTTGGGACATATTTGTTTTTTATCCCGAACCCATTCCATCCCAATATCAAATGGGACATGAGCGAGACAGCTTAAATTTACACCGATTCGTCCCATTTGTCTCGTTTCATCTACTCAACTAATATATACTACTAATTCTAGCCCAAAATCCAAATACAATCATTCTTTAATTAATTAATTAATTAATTATTTAATTAAGTTAACTTCATAGGCTTTAGCCCAAAGTTTATTAAATTTATTTGGTCCCGTTTCACTCATTATTTTTTGTTGGATGACTAGATGTTTATTCTTTTTTTGAATGAAATGTGTGATTCAGACAAATTAGGATGAGCCGAATCTGTCTTGGTTTATTCCGATCCCAAACTTTGTGGGACAAATCGGGATAAGATTGTAACTCGAACCATTCCGAACCGTTTATATATAACGGGACAAGACGTGGGACAACCTAAAATCCGAACCGTCTCGATCCATGCCCACCCCTAATGACCGGTTCTTAGAAGGTTCTCCCTACAGAGCTTCCCAGTTAGAGGAGAAGGTGAGAGAATGGGAGCAGAAAGCCCGGGAGATGAGCGTCGTCATCATGCGACAAACTGATGAACTAGCGAAGCTCTCTAAGGCTGTCAGGGTCGTGGGTGCTAAGAACCCTCAGCTGAAGGAGGAGAACACCCGGATGGACAAGGTCTCCCACTTGAAGGAGGCTTTGGAGGAGAAGGAGCAGTAGCTACCCGGTAGAGCCTGGTAGTCGATGGGGGGAGAATAAAGCCGAAGCCACCCGGGGGTTGACACCGACCTTGGAAGACACGATGGAATCCTTCAAGATGCTCTACCAGGAGCCTGACAGGAGGAAAATGATCACGGTCGTAGGCTCTTATGGCTTCATGATGGGCCAGAAAAGAGACTGGGAGGCGACTCACGACATTCTATTTGACCGGGACCCTGACTTCTCTGTGGCTACCTACGGCCTGGCCCCAATCCCTGAACAAGAACCTGCTCCTCCCCTCCCCCTAGAGTAGATCTCCCCGGGAATGTCCGATTGTTTCTGTACTTGTAAAAACTTTTATTTACCCGGGTATGCCCGGTGTACTTGTATTTGACAATATTTCTTCAAATAATATTCAAGTACTTTTCATATCCCGGTACTGTTTTTGTTTTTATTTTGCTGCTTGCTTTATAGATATTTTAACTCGTGTATTGCTTGCTACTTGATGTCTTGTCTTATGGTGATCATTAATCCTTGCCTGTAACACCCTAATCCGTCCAGGTCTGCAGCCCTTTTCGGACTAAAGTATTAACTTGGTAATCGTAACAATTTAAAACTTTTTCAAACACTTTTTATTTATCACAATAATATTTTTCATAACAGATACAATACAGAGTATTCAAAAATATTGCGGAAGCGAATTTAATATTGACATATCATAAATCATTTCAAACTTGTCACATCCATCCCGACAATCTCGCCCCATCTGCCACCAGGATCGCATTAATCTTTCTGTTTACCTGCGTGTAGCAAATAAAACACACTACACGCTCAGTGGTAAAGCTGAGTAAGAATATCTAATGCGTCGAACATCCATATAAACTGAATCTAAATTCATAATCAAATCATTTGATATCATGCACACAATGTTCATTTAAGACATTCACAGTTTTGAAAATATTTAGTTCATATCAACACATTTTATTCAATTCAGATATTATCCCGACAGTGCCCTTAAATTATTCTTAATCTAAGGCCAAATAATAACAATGCTCTTAGCTATTCTTAGTCTAAGGCCAGATCATAATAATGCTCTTTAAAAGGCAATTAATTATCAGACACTTAAACTATCATTAGTTTAAGGCAATCGATTTCGGACACTTAACTGTAGTCAGCTAAGGCAATCAGACACTTAAACTATCACTAGTTTAAGGCAAATGATTCAGACACTTAACTGTAGTCAGTTAAGGCAACAACAACAATATAGCAATTGATCAACATTGGATCGGGCATTCCCAAACGAGTAATCCTCTAGCTTGGTCTACGAATCCCGTTTATGCATTTTTATCTAATTCATCGAATATTCATGTTTCACAAATCCATACTAATATGAGATCTATTCTAGAGGTCTTCTAGATAGCCTTAACATCAATTCTCTAAATGTGTATATCTTAGAGTTCCTCTAGATANTCATGATTCAATCATAAATACTTATTTTAATCAGTAGGTTCATTACTGATAATCATCCATAATATTCATTTATCATAATCATCAATTAACATAACCAATGATAACAAATAGCGGCCTAGCTTCAAGTGTTAACACCCGAACTTACCGTCATTCAACACATATCATTTTTAGTTGTTAAAAACATCATTTTTATTGTGGTAAATCATTTTTATAATGATCATAATCAATTGGTATTAAAAATAGGATTTTAGAGCTCAAAAATAGCATTTTCAGACAAATTTTCGGATCAGGACTTCGGGGGATCGATCCAGCCTTCTGGATCGATCCATACTATGAAAAATCACTCCCAGGGGATCGATCGAAGCCCCTGGATCGATCCAGACAGTGGTGTTTCAGCCACTGTTCATCTTCTTCTTCGTTCGGGTCCAATTTCGGAAATACCGTTTTTAGTTATCGAACTTCAACGAAACTATATAGAGATGTTCTCCAAGGTTCATAGATCATTTTGGCATCATTAATTCATAGTTTTAACATCAATTCCATGGTTCATGATTCTTGGTTCTTCAAGCATGTCAAACACAAAACTCAACCAAACGAGCGTTTATGAACGTAGAAACGATCTATACGAACATTCTAGTCATTAGATATATCTACGAGCTTACCTCGAAGGTAAATGAAGGTTTTGAATATTTTCCGGCGACCTCTCACCAAATTGACAGCACTACAACGTTTTCCTTACTTTGAGCAACAGAATAGAAGAAGGAAGTATATGTTTTGGTGAAGAATTGAGAATGCTTAGCTCCCTTTATATAGTGGATTTGAGGGAGAAGAAGACACTGGTTGGTGAGAGTAGGAAGATTCACAATCGGCTTAGTGCGCTGGGAGGCGCCGTTCGCACAGTGTCCCTGATTGGGACCAATTTTGGTTCCAGTTGGGGTACACTTTTTGGTTCAACTTTCTCCGAATTGAATTCCATTTGCACCGTTGTGATCGGGCATTTAAACTCTATCTATTGATATAATTTTTTATATTTATTTGTAATACTTTTTCTGACATCATATTTTTGGGTGTTTGACTTTGACAGAGTCAAAATTGATTTAGTTGATCTTTATTCAAAAAGGTTTCTCACATTTAATTCATATAATTTGTTCTAATGATTTATTTCAATAAATCATTTCAAAGTTCACATCATAATAATTTCTTCATATATTCTTGATTTGGGTCTGTACACAGGTTCCCAATCAAGATCAATATTTTGGATTTATCTCTATGAGACTTATCCTGATTGTAATATTCAATATTCAAACATATTTCATTTTGGCCCAAAGCCCAACAAACATTTATTCTTTAATTAAAACAAATTTGATTAATTGATTATTTATTTATTAATAATTCTAGGGTGTATTTTGGGGCGTTACATTGCCTCTAACTCGTATTTTTACTTTGGTATTTCGATCTGATTAACTTCTTCCGGTAAAATAGAATTTTTCAAGTGTCCTCACATCGTTTGATTTTACTCACCCGGTTGATGACTTCTCTTTCCTTCCAACTGGTGGAAAGAATCACCTTTATCTTTCGAGGATTTGAAAAATTTTGTAAAGTTTTTCAATAATAATATCCTACCGGGTATCCTTTTTATTTTGTCGACTAGTAGGTTGTAGCTGGATGAACGTGTAACCTAGTATTTCTTGGAAGTGTTTTGACCTGGTAAAAATACTAGAGATTTAATCATGTCGAATGGCTTCAAGCCCTCTCTAAGGCTTAAATGTACCCTTCTTCCATGGCCCCCTCTTCTAGGTGATTAAGTCTTTAATGACTCTTTTATGTTCACCATCTCGGGGAAATGGCCTTTGCTCACCCCATTCAAGTCTTCCCTTAGAAGGGGGAATCCGACACGGTCGGTGTAGGATGCATTGCGATGAATGATCTTTTTCTTTTTCTTTCCATGGGCATATTTTAGTTCCTCAATCAGTTTGATCATTCGTCCAGCATGCTTTCCCTTCCCGGTCAAACCTCATGAGACCGTGTAAGTACGATTTTGAACCTTCTTCTAGGTCCAGCCTGATTGCAGGCATACCCCTTTTCTAGGGCCCCTCTTCAGGGTTTATTCATTTTTTTCTTTTTATACTGAGCAAGATCGGTGTTATAACCAGTGTGCTAGGTCCGGGTCTGTGTCTCAGTCGGCCTATCCGAGTGGAAATCGATCCACCCGGGAGGCCTATTTGTATAGGCCCGACCTATCATTTTCACCTCTACCAGGTAGGTTGTTGAACATTGCAAGTTTGCTTCTTTGATAACGAAATATGCCTTTCCTAACATTACAATTATTTGTATGTAGAACTTTCTCAAATGATGGGAGTTCCAACATCTTTCGATTATTCAACCTTCCAGAGTTTCCAATTTGTATGTACCCAGGCGTACTACAGCACTCACCCAGTACGGTCCTTTCCAATTCTTCGCCAACTTTCCACTATCACCCGGTTTGTTGGCCTCTCTTCTCTGTATGACTTCATCACCAACTTGGAAGTATCGTGGTCCTACTTTGTTGTCATGGTACTTATTTACCACTTGTTGATATATGCTCATTTTCGATTCAGCAGCCATTCTTCTTTCTTCTACCTAGAGATGAGCAAAAGGACCGATGAGGTCAGACTAGGCCGGTCTTTGGAAAAGACTGCTACAATAAAGGATTGGACAAAATTAGTCTTTTTTAAAAACCCGGTCCTAACTAGTCTGGTCTTCTTATCAAAATCAAAGACCAAATAAGACCAATAGTAGTCCAATCTAGTCCGGTCGGCAGTCCAATCCGGTCTGGTCTCTAGTCTCAACATATTGGGTCAAGATTGCAGTTTGTGATGTTGAGCCAGGGTTACCAAATAGTCCATCAACTCTTTTTGCATCGATTGAGATTGCATGTTGCAGTTTGCTCGCTCAATCGCTGATTCTCTAAGGACATCTCTAGGGACTAGCTCTACTGCTCTAGAACATATCAGAGTGTTTTGACGTTTGAGTTTATCTTGAAACTCTGAGAAAATACTTAGGAGATACGAGAAGCCGAGAAGTATTAATCATTTTTAATTTGTATTACTCTATATTATTTTTTGAAGATTTTTATACGTACTACTCCATATATACTACTCCTTATATACTCTGTAATTTACAAGTAATACAATTAGACTCTAGAGGACTAGTTTTTTGGACTAGCTAGTCTTTTGACCAATCTTTTACTAGTCTCGAACCAGTTCGATCCCAATCTTTCAAGTCCAAATCCTAGTCAGTCTCGGTCAATCTTTTCGGTCCCAATCTTCTCTACTTCTACCAAGTTAAGTTCAGAGAGGTGATCATTTTCATTTTGCTCAAGTTGGTAATTGGCCTCCCAACACATTGGAAATTCACCTTCGATGGGCAATCTGGCCTCACACCCAAAGGTTAGGAAAAATGGTGTTTTCCCATTGGCCCGTCTAAGTGTTACCCGATATACCCATACGATATGTGAAAGCTCTTCTAACCATTTATTTCCCACTTCTCCTAACCGCTTCTTCAAACTATTCACAATGGTTCTGTTAGCATTTTCCACTAGGCCATTTCTTTGGGGGTATGCCACTGAAGAATGATTGTGTTTTATCCCGAAGCTTTCCAAATAT